ATAGAGGAGATCCTTTCCACTTCTCCGAAAGATCAAAAGGTCTCTTCAGAGTTAGTTAAGCCAGAAGAACTTCAGGACATGTCCTGTGGGAACCCACTAACACTGAAACAGAAAAGGGACCTGCTGCAGAAGTCCTTTGCCCTTCCAGAAATGTCCCTTGATGATAACTCAGAGCTCAGCGTGGAGGAAATTAGACCTAGCGGAGCAATTCCAAGCCCAAATGTAAAGACAGTCCTTATTAAAGTCCCTGAAGATTTTGAAAACCAAACAGAAAGTGATAAACTTGATACCAACACAGAGTCTGACACTGAACAAAACATGGAGCAGAAACAAGAAGAGGAGACTGAGGAGTCAGAGTTTAAGATTCAGATTGTTCCTCGCCAGAGGAAGCAGAGGAAGATTGCTGTGAGTGCTATTCAGAGAGAATACCTGGACATTTCCTTTAACATCCTTGACAAGCTGGGAGAGCAGAAGGAGGCAGGTGAGCTCAATCACTGACCCAGTCAAAAGGCTTATTACTGTGTGAAGGTTTTAGTAACAGACCAGTGTAGGGAGAGATGTGTATATGTATAGGGAGTGATGTGTATGTATAGCATCTGATGTGGTCTGAGCTAGCTGAATGCTTTCAGGTGTTTGTTTTTCACAACGAATGTACTAACCATAGAGGTATTGTGCATGTGTGAGGACCCATTTGAAAAGGAAGCGGAGCTCAGTGACAAAAATATTGGTTCCAATATCCAAGTTAGGAAGTGAAACTCCGTGGCCTCTTTATGTGGGGAGTCAGAAAAATTGTCATACTTCTATGCCTTTTATCCTGCTAACCTCGTCCATGCTACACAGATTCTCTTTTGTGTGTAGTGATTTTTGGCCTTTATTTCTTCTGCAAGCATAAGGCAGTGGAAAGCAGACTGGATCACAAAGTGTAAAGCTGAGCAGGCTGTAGACTTCAGAACTAAGAGCACTTGGAATTAACCACAGTTTGCATTTAGGATCAGACATAAACACATATTTTGTTTTTATACACTAAAGTTTTTTCAGGTAATTTCAATACAGGGTTTTGTTACTAAGTTTTTCAGGTGGAGAGAAAGTGTGTTTTAGCTGTTTCCTCAGTTTCCAATTGGATGTGTCAAACAGTTTTAAAAACTGTATGCTGCTGCCTCTTCACTTCTGTGGCTGGTTTTTTTCAGGATTTTTCAGTTATTAGAATTTCACCAGTCTTTTTTAAAAATATTAATTAAAAAAGGAAAGAATCCTTCAGGCCTCAGTTCTTTGTTGCCAGTGAAGTGAGGGGGGATATTTATGCATTCCTGACCGCACTTCTTTCTTAATTGCTTCAGAGGGAACCATAGTATAATATCCTATTACGATATTCCACTTTTACAAGGAGAAATCATTCAGTGTGATCACAGTTATGCTGTTCCCTTTATGTTTCAGGCCTATGGTCCCATTTATGGTTCCAGTAAGCTGAAGAACCGCTGGAGCTTTGTAAAAAAAGAGAGCTGAGTGCTTTTGAACTTTTCACATTGGTTCTTAGAGAAGAATGGTCATGAAAGAATTGTGCAATTAGACTCAAATGCTTTTTTGACCATTAGTAAGGGCCAGTTTCCATGCAGTAACTAGCACTATCATCCTTGAAACTGCTTGGAAGGGCTGTCCCAGTTCTGAAACACCATGTGGAACCTATGATTATAGCATGTATGATGGTCATTTGGCTGCGTGCATCTAAGTATGTCATGCAAGGGGAGCATAAAACATTCACAATGACTCATTAAGTGCTCACGTTACGGGTTGATACAGACAATTCAGATAACTAGGTAATTTAGTGACTTGGGTAGTTTAATGTATCTCTTATGTTCTGTTTTGTTTTGTTTAGCCTTATTGATTAGTTTATTTGAGAACATATGTGTTGTAATTCATTTAAGTAGGCTTAATGTCATTATCATAATGGGCTGATGATAATTTCAAAGTCTTATTCAAGCTTTTTCAGCCTATTATGCTTCCATATATTTTAGAAAGGCTTCTGATATAACTGATCTCTGAATTAAATATCCTAATGGGTTGTTTCTTCAAGTGCACAATGCTGGGCTACAGAGTTTTTGCCTGAGACTTTTTACAGTACAGTTACATGTTCATTTTTATAGGATATGCTGAAACCAGCCATCAACACTTGAAAATTTCTTTGCTTTATTTTTCCCATATTGACAGTATCAGTTATCATAAAATAAAAACATTAGTTTTAATGGTTCATTTTTCTTTTTAATGATAGAATCTTAAACTCTGAATCTTTAGGATTAACTGCTAGATCAGCAACCTTTTGCATGAAAACTGATAATTTGTTGGAGATAAGGCTTTTAAAAGATGCTAAGCTGCCACTTAAACTAGCTTTACATCAGTGGTACCTCTCTTATTTCCATGTTGGTGGTTCTGATAATCACTCTTTGAATAGGATCAAAATCAAACTCTATTGCATTTATTAGTTCTGGGCTCTAAAAAGCATAGGTAGAAATCTCCTTTAAAAAGTGATTTTAAGCCTCTATAAAAATTCTTAGGACACACACACTGAATCCTTTTAAAACTGCTGGGAATGCCAGATGGTGAATGGATGACTGAAAAGATGTGAAAAAGGCATCCAGGGAGAAAACGGATGGAAAATATTTATTGATTCTAAATACTGAGAGTTTAAGCACAATTTTCATATGTAGATCCTGCTGCCAAAGGACTTTCAACACTGGAAATGCCAAGAGAGTCATCATCTGCACCAACTCTTGAAGCAGGTGTCCCGGAGACAAGTAGTCACTCTTCCATATCAAGTAAGTTTACCTCTGGTTGAGGATTAAATCTAAGTTGCTGTATTTGTGCGTCAGATGCATATCATGTACGGTAAATGCCTTCCCCTGAGTTTCTTTGAATCTTGGAAGTACAGCTGTGTTGAATATCATTAGATCTGTTAAATCTCTGATGGTCAGCAGTTTGAGCAGTTAGTGGCTGCAAGATTTTCTGTTGTGATATGGCAAATTTGACAAATGTGGTCATTTTTCACTCAGTGTCTTGAATTAGAGTAGGTAGCAGCTAAAAGCAATATTTCACTAAAGCTGAATGTTTATTTTCCAATGAGAGGAAGCATTGTCAACTGTCAGTGCACAGAAGCAGAGTATGAGAGCTCCACAGGGCTGTTACTATGGTCTTCAGTACATTTCTTGCTGTACCTTAGGAAAAACATCTCTAGCAATTTTTGTAAAATGCCTTGAAATGCCACTTCCTCAGCTGCTCGCTGAAATGCCGTAACTGTTTATCTGAGACTCCAATACGCATTTCAATGGAAAGTGAACTGGCTTGGTTTAAGTAGACAGTGACACATGGCTTAACAGAGCAGATGTAGATAATATTGGAAGGTGGTGGCATCTTAGAACACTAACAAAATCCAGAATGGCGTGTCCATCTAAGTAATGTTAAGTAACTCATCCGAAGGTTGATGGGGCAGGACTCTGACTAGTAGAAAAGGGAGGGGAAACGATGACCTGCTTTGATATCAGTGAGCTGCTAGATCAGCTCAACTGTCTTGCTGAACTGCAATTTCAGATTGCTATAGAAAAGTTAAATTTTAATTTCTGAAATTCAGTGTCTGCTGATTTGATTGGAAGGGGTGTCTGGCCTATTAAAGGAAGATGTTATTTTAGACATGCTAGATGAGTACTCCAAATTAGAGGTTTCCTCTCCACAAGTGTCTCGTGTCATGTGCATCTTGTAGTCAGAGTACATTTGTTGGCCACCTAATGATACAGGTGTTACTTCCTAAAGCAGCTAAAGAGGTGCTGGTTAAGACCTTTCTCTGTCTGGTTTCACTGAGTGCTAGGTGTTCCTGTAAATTCCAATATATGAAATTGGGAATAGTATCTATATGATATTGAGCCTACATTCCTTTGTAAATATTCGTTTTCTCCTTCTGTGTGCCTCAGCTTCCAGCTGCAAAAAGGGATGTGAATACTTCTGTTGTGTCTCTTGTCCATTTAGACTGAAATATTGTTGACCTTCTACTATGTGTCTTTGTGCTTTGCATAATAAGCCCTGATCAGGACTGTGAGCACAAGGCACTTCTGTAACACAAATAGATAACATTACTTGTGCAGCCAGTGCCTGGCTGCAGAAGGCATACATCATTAACCGTGATAGGAAGATTTTGCCTTTGGACTTCTCTTCTTGAGTAGAGAATTCCACAGCAATGAAGGCACGATTGACCAGAGCACTAGCTAACATATGAATGGCTCACCAGCTACTGTATGAAGGTTACTGATCTTCTCATAATTGTTAGGTTTCTTGTAGAAAATCTGATCAAGGAAAACTTCCCTCCCTGTGCCACTGGTCAGTCACAGGCATGAAAAGTCTTGTGCTGGTCCACAGCAATCAGCCTGGCTCCAACCCTGTTCAAAGGCTGGCAGCTCTCTGGGTTTTTTGGTTTTTAGATTTTTTTCTTAACTTATCAATATTTGAAGTCATGGCTGTCCTTGAGAAATCAGGTAAATAACCCTGGAAATCCAAACCTGCTCAACAATAGCTTGATTATGTGAAATATGCATGAAATTTTTTTAATTACAATCGCAAAAGCTGTTACGAAAATTCAAAGAGATAATTTTCTATATTTTGACAGTCATCTGCACTCCAAGCAGTCTTGTCAGTTCTAACGTTAATTGCTGTTCTTTCATCAGGAAATTCTATGCTTGATAAAGAGATAAAGCATCTATTTAAAATCCTTGCCCTGGAAACGGTGGAAATTCTATTTTTCTCCTAATTTTCTGTGAAAGGCAGCTGCAATATAACTTTTAAAAGTGAAACATGGAATGGGCTCTTGGTCTTGTTCAGTTCCAGAAGTTCAGTTATACAAGGACTGCTTTGCAGCAATGGTGGAGAAGTTTGTACTTGGACCAAAATAGAGTTTAAATGCACTCTGATACATTGAAAGGATATAATGAGGGAAAACTTAAAATACTTCACCTAATAAAATAATTTCAGTGTGCAGATTCCCACTGAAGTTATCCTTGTGTTTATTATTACTCAGGGCCTGTGTTTGTTTTGTTAGGGAGTACTCTGCTTTCTCTGAATTTGAAACTGTCAGATAGAAACTGAGTAGAGCAAGTTTAGGAGAAGGCACTGAACCCCTCAGAGCTTTCTGAAAGTTGTAGTTTATCCCTTGTCTGTACTTCTTCATCACAGTTAATAATGTGAAATACTGGGTTTATTTTCAGAGCTTAGCTGAGTACTGTTTGGAATTTTATAAAGGAACTACCTGATATTATGTTAATACTCTTTTTAACGATGTTGAATATAGCTGCAGATGAAAATAATCATTAGGAGAAGATTTTGTTTTGTTGCCCTTGCTTTAAGGCCCTGTTGAGGAAAGACTTAAACATATACTTAAGGCAACATTTTAAAAGCTTTCCTGCATGGAAATGCGTGTCAGCAATCTCACATGCCTTGTTCAAGCAGGGCCTTAAAACTCTGTCTTCATACTGTGAACAATGATTTTGGTTTCAGTGGTGGAAAGGTATTGCTCAGACTCAACTGTCAAAGCGAATGTATTATGTTCATTCAATTTGAATTTTCTTATGGATGGAGAAAAAAGTAAGAAAGTCAGGAGTTGTATATGATCTGTTTCTTCCTCCATTTAAGCACTGAGAAAATACATGACCAAAAAAGTCTTAAATTTTAAATCCACAAATTTTTTGTGTGTGAGCATTATCCAGTGACACACATCTCTTAAAGCAAACAGTATCTATTTAAAGAAGTATTGTAAATAGTCGGATGAGGAAAAAATCAAATGCTTGCTGCTTGATAGCTCCATGTAAGAAGAATGGCAGTGAAGCTGTGAAAGGGACCCATCTTCAAAGGCGTGCTGGCTTCACACTTCAGAATAATGTCCAGGTGGTATGCCTGAGTGGTGGGTATTTAGGGGGCCTGTTCAGTTTGCGTCACCCATGAAGGGTGCAGGTGGTATACAGTCAGTGAATTTGTTTTCCTACGGTGAGCACGGGCAAAGCAATCCTCCATAATTTGCTGGGAGGAGACCGAGTTTCATTCCTCAGTACATTGCGTGTGAGTGAGATTCAAGTATACATTTATCACCTGTCAGCATGGGAATTTTGGGGTAGTATCTTACACTTCACAGATGCCAAGTGTTTTGAAGAGCTTTCATGATATTTGGAGACAAAAAGGCACTGACAGTTGACACAGCGGATGAGATCCTGAGTCCAAGTCACTTATGACTGATGTCATTGGGGCCAGAATTGTACCCTGTGTAGTTGCATGAGTGCATATTGACTTGAGCAAGATCCTTAGAGCAAGCAGTCATTGTCCTTTCAGTATTTATCTCATGCTGGCTTGTAAGATCAGGAAAAAAGACTAGTTTTACATGTTGTCTGAGCCCCTGAAATCCTTTTGCATTTCTGACTTGCAGCTCAGTTCAGACAAATGAAAAGAGGCTCTTTGGGAGCTCTGACAATGAACCAGCTAATGAAGAGGCAGCTGGAACACCAGTCTAGTGCTCCCCACAATATCAGCACTTGGGATACTGGTGAGCTGCATTTATTGTTCTTTATTTCTGTTTCCTAAACCAATTACTTTCTGTATCAATCCATGAAAAAAATGAGTATTTCTATTCTACCATTGCAGAACAGTAATCTATCTCAAGTCGAAAGTGAAACTTTATAGTGAGTACCAGATTCTCACCTGGTATGAATTGGAATAGTTACATATTTGGGAGGTAGTTCCTCTGGTACAGTGGTGTCCCCACAATTTTGCATATTACTTGGATTATTTTCTGGCCTCATCGAATGAAATGGAAGTATCACTGTTGATTTCATTAGGTATAGGATTTCATCCCTGGTGCATGGAATCATTTATTTGCATGTATGTTTACAGTGGTGTTGGTACACCAAGGAGTTGTGCCTTATACCAGCCAGTTTTATTTCTCTTTAGAGAAGTTTCTGCCAGCTCATTCTGAACACCTGAAGTTTCTGTTCACTCACTGACCTGTTTTTTCTCCCTTTGAGATGAATGCAAAGCAATGAAAATTGAATTAAGCACACAATTTCCTCATTACTCAAGTGATTTATTTGTTTTTTTTCTTCTATAACAGATTTTCTGTTATGACCAAAATCATAGCAGATGTCACTAAACAATGAATTCATTCTGGTTTATCATAAATGCTAGATATTTTATTGCCCATCTTGATGTTAATGACATTATGGAATTGTGCTTCTTAGGAATTTATCAGCAGATCCGGATACATCCAGAGAAAGGAACGCTTAAAACGTTATATGGAACTTAGCATGCTGAATGAATGTCTCACCACCAGTTCTGGACAGCTGAGTTAAAATTTTTGCTTAATTCAGTCTTCAGCATCAAATTCCATCAAACTAAATCTTGTAGCTGAAGAATGACTAGTGGTATGGTATATAGTTCAGGATTATCCTTTCGATTCCAGTCTGCTGAGTAGCATGCTCAGCAAGAGATCCTTAAATCATAAAGGTCAGAATTTGTCAATGATAACAATGGTTTTTTTGTCCTATCAGCAGGTAAGTTTATTTATTGAAGAGATTTAGCTGGTATCGCCTAGTTCCTCAGGCAGAGGTTTAGAGATGAAAAAGTTACTGCTTTCATTCTGCAAGAAGTAGTTAGCCTTTGCTCAAGAGGAACAAGTCAGCTCTCAAAACCACTTAGGAACTCTGTCTTGTTAATCTTTCCCACTAGCTTTCTTCACAACATCTATGACTTTTCCTGCCAACATTCGTTCCAGCTAAAGGCCTCCAAGCATGGAGATACAAAGTAAAATGTTCTTTTCCGGAAAGCTTTGCAACTCTCAGTCTCTTTTTTAACCACTAGTTTCAAAGTAAAATTATTATTTGGACAGAAAACTTTCTTGTTTTTCAGGACAAATGCCCAGTGTGACTATTTGTCATTTCAATGTCACACCACAATTTTAAGACTTATTATACTCAGTTATAACAACTAGGAAGTAGTCTTATCCCGCATAAGTATATGATGCGTGCTTGGTTCATGCTTTATTATTATTTTTTTTTACTTTGTTAGCTATCATGTGTCTCTTTCATTTCATATTTCAAACCACTCAAGCTTGCTATCTGTAAAATAAAATTATTTTGTGTCTAGCTTCTGTCAGCACAAACTATACCTGACTTATAGTCTCCTGATATTTCTAAACAGTGTCTTTCTCTTTTTGTGACTTATATATTCCATATCTTGTTGAATCTTTATAGCTAGGCACTTCCTTTCTTGTTTAATGACACTTACTTTTCTAAAATGCTTTCTTTGGTATTAGGTTATCTGTGTCCTTTTTCCTTTGTGGACCTCTTTCATCTCCTCCCCTCCCCCCCCCCCCCCCTTCTTTGTTTTTTCAATAGCTGTTGTATTTGTCTTTCTCTTGTTTTAACTGTTTAAGACTTGTGGTGCTGGTGACAGATGCTGGATTCATAGTTTTGGAGACTGAAGTTCTATATTTATTCACAGAGCAGATACAGCATGGAAAGCGGCTGTGCAATGTCCCTGTTTGCCTAAACCCCGACTTGGAGGGACCACCACTGAGAATCAGAGGTTAGTTCAGTGTCTGTTTGACTTGATATCTCTGCTAAGACTGCCAGGAAGGTTTTTTGGTTAGTACCAAATGGTGCTGAATTTTATGTTCCATTCAGCTGTATTAAAGCTCTCAACTGTCCTGCAGAATGTAGGTTATTGAAAAATTATTAGACAAGACAGTTCATTCAAGACAGGGACAACTGATAAGAAGTACTGGCTTTCTGCTAGTACTTGTTTTGGCTGTCAACCTGGAAATAAAAGACTATGCAGAGTGTGGTTGAATCTCATTTCTTTATGAACTTCCTTATGAACAGCCAAAATACATCCAGACTTTCTTACAGCCTTGCAATGGGGCATTGACCTACCTTCTTTGCCTAAATCATGTTTTTTTCCATACTGTTCAGTGCACGAGAAAGGACATTTTTATTTTGAGTAGTTAAGTCTTATTCCAACATTGTAACCTGCATTATGACAGCTTTTAGCATTTGTGTGCTTCAGTGGGACTTACATCTAGAGAGCATGACAGTGAAAGGATCTTGATTCATTTGTGAGGGGGAAGAAAACTGGCTAGAAATACATGAAAATCTAGTCCTATTGCTTGCGTTCTGGATAGTGTCCTACATTACTGAAGAGTATTCTGGACTTCCTGGAGTGTCTGCTCATATCCAACAAAATCTCAGGACAATTATGAAGTACTCAACTCTGTATGTAAAAGAAATATTTCCTTCCATACTCAGTAAAATGATTGTTTAAAACCTGTCTTATTCTTGTGAAATAAGCCCTCATCTTCTGATATATTTTGAATTCAGAAATTGTGGGAGCTTCTTAGATTATTTTGCCCGAGAGCTGATATTAAATTTGCTTTTCCTGCAGTAACTGGGATTATCTCATCAGAAATTCCATCTGAACCTAGCTTAGGTGGAGAAGCTTCCTCCTGTTCCCATAGTGAAATATTATCAGAACAGGCTAATGTTAACATTAAATCTGAATCTGCAGATTGAAGCAACCAGCAGGAAAGTCAATAACGGATTACTTGATCTGTGGTTGAATTGGCATCAAAAGGGCATTGGTACTCTTCTAAAAATTGGTTCACAAAATGAGCTTTTCATAGATTGGTCTTTAGAATGAGATGCCCTTGGGGACAGCCTATATACATAACGATGGTGTCTACCAGCTGAGCTCCCTGGATGTGGTATGGGAGCTGAACTGTATGGGAACAGGAGTAATGCTGTCTCTATCATGTCAGCTACATGTGGCAACGAAAAGAGATATTTTTCTTTAAGAACTGAGTCTCTCTTTCTGTCTTAGAGACCTGGAGAACGAAACGGCTACCTATTTAAATCATCATCATAAGGCATCTCAGATGAACAACATAGCTCGTACATCACAGTAGCTTTGATCCAAGTTTCTGATGGCTCATGAAATGAGTCTGATTATTCTTCTTGAGGTTTTCTTTGCAACCAGACTAGCTGGAGAGCTACCTCTTCTGTATGTTTTTTTCTGCAATTGCTGTTGTCTGCTTAATGAAAATAAAGGGGCCAAGGCGGGAAAACCACCATACTGGAGAGATGTTAGACTGTCAGACTGCCTTATATTGCTGTAATTCTGGAAAGCAGGACTCAGAGAAGCCAAGAGTTTGAATCTTCCGTTATACCTAACTTCTCCTATTAAAACAAGCATCCATCAGAAATTAGATGCACAAAAAGTGCCAAAGGCAAAGGGAAGCCCATATGTTGGCATGATCACAGTGGCTACGCCCCCAGCTGAACAGCTCAGCTTTGGAGAATAAAGATGCTTGTGAAGACTTTCAACAGAAAGCATTTCTAATTATCAGCCCTCCAATATTCTCAATGTTTCTTAGCTCCTTATGAATTATTTCTTCTAACTGTCCTTTCCTGATTTCTCTCCTATGCCTCTGTTAGGGATGGTATGAATAGATTGATGATCTGGTGTTGAGACATATGAACTTATTTCCTTCTTCATGTCACTGCAACTATGGGAAGGCAATTCTCCAGAAGTACATGGGAAGGCTGCAGATCTTCTGGTGTCCAGTCTCATAGCAGCTGTAGAATCATTCTCTCTCCCTAAAAAATGAGTAGATACAATTACATCCGTCTTCCTGGAATTTTTGTTCTTTGTTATCTTTTTCCGAAGGATTTTTTTTTTTGTTATTATTGATAGTTCTAGGTAAAAGCAAGGAATATGCTATATATCCTTTTGTAGACACACTTTATTTCTCATTTCTATGCACAGTAAAACCATTATGGCTCTTCTTTAGAAGTCTCCTCTTCAAGCAGTTTGGATTTATGTTTAGTGATTTTCTTTCCTTTTTTAATTTTTTTCCCCGTAACTGCCTTAAGGTGCCACAAAATCTAGCCTGCTGTCAGCACCCAGTATAGTCAGTATGTTTGTACCTGCACCAGAAGAATTTGCTGATGACCAGCCCACTGTGATGACTGACAAGTAAGTTCTTTTTCTGTTCTTTTCAAAGAACTAGTTGAACTTCAATTAGGTCAATTAAAGTATAGATATACTTTACAGAAATATAAAGTCCATGCTATCATTTATTTCTATGCTAAGTTTTTTAATTATTTTTTCTACCCCAAGGTAAACATTTTCTAAACACTGCCAGGAAGATGTGCTTTTAATTCAGTAAGACCTGTGAGAGTTTGCACAGGTGAAATGATGACTCAGGTTATTGCATGTGCACGGAGGGCAGGGGACGCACCTTCCATCCTATTTAAATCAAGGGTTCCTTGTGATCCATCAGAAACCACTTTTGCCTTAGGAAAGAGAAAAGCTCTTTTTTAAAATTCCTTTGGGTTTCTGTTGAAATAGATTACATGTGATTACACATCAGCAGTTACCAACATAGCATTTTTAATGCTGATACTCACTGATCCCAAAAGCTTTTGCAAACCTTAATTGGTTGGTTAAAATGCCTTTAAAGGAAGTGTTAAACCTAAGTGTACTCATTTAATGGAGAAGTAAAGCAGTCAGCAGGGGGCCATGCATCGATTTAGTCAAAAACTGGGAAGAGAAACTGTAAGTTCTTGCTTGTGCTTCTGCTCTCAGTCCAGTAGACAGACATGTCAGGATGATCACCAGAGAAAGACAGGGCCATTGTGCAGGCTGTGACTGAAAGTGGACCTTATTGTGTGACAAAGTGAAGCATCCCAAAAGTTAGGCTTACCTTTGGCACTTCCTTTGGCCATTTCATCAAAACTCTAGCACCGCCTATTAACATACAGACCAGCTGAGCTTGACTTTCATGACTTTGTTGGCATATTTTCTTTCTGTTCAGTAACAAAGGCAAGAAAATTGCCTGTACAATTCCATTAAGTTAAAATATCGCAATCTGTTGGAGTCATTAGCAACTGATTGATCAAATTAAGCAAACCTTCCTACTGGGCTGAGATAAGCCAGTTTCCCACATTGGTTTGCCTTTTTCGTAGGTTGTGAAAGCCTGTCTCATCTCTCCTAAATCTGACATCCCCTTTATAATTAGACATTACAGAGCCCTTTCAGAACTTCATCAGTTGTCTTTGAGCATTTCAGGAAGGATAAGTGACTCAGCAGCAAATCTGCCCTGGGAAAGGAGACTTCTCTGAAATCTAAGGTTCTGTGCCCCTGAGAGGTCCTTTCATTTCTTTCTTAATAGCTATAACTGCTGTGGGAACCAATCAGATCATTGTTTCCTAATTGTATAATTTGTTATTCATAATTCATGACTGACAGGAATGACAATGTGAAATTGTTGCATCTCTCTAAGATCATCTGTGAGAGTCATTATTTATGTCTATGCTGCTAAATAGAAGAGTGCCAGGGACTTGAGCCCTCGCCTGAGCCCAAGTTGCATGAACTGGCTGGTGTTCACGTTGCTGAGGGTTAGTCTTCACTGCTGCAGATTTCTCTCGGATAGTACAAACTGAAGCAGTCCAATATAGAGTGAGGGAATTAGCTAACAATTAGCAATGAAGGACCCAAAACAAGGCCTGCCCTGTGGCCCTCTCATTTGTCAGTGAAGAAACAGCCAGTGCAGCTAGTGAAGCTTTATTAATGTTTGAAAGCATGGACTGTTATCAATTACAGAAAGATCACAATTACATTATCTTTCTAAATAAATTTTGAATAGAATGTACTAAATAATAGTACTTTAGAAAGGCATAATTATACACATATGTATATATGGTAATAGTTTGTTTTAAATTTGTTAATGTCAGTTTTTAAAACTGTTCTTTGCAGGTGCCATGACTGTGGGGCTATTCTTGAAGAATATGATGAAGAAACACTAGGCCTCGCCATAGTTGTGCTCTCAACCTTCATTCACCTTAGTCCAGACTTGGCTGCTCCTCTGCTGTTGGACATCATGCAATCTGTAGGAAGGTAAATTCAGGACTTTCCTCTCTCCCATATGATTGAAAGACTTTTGTGCCTGGAATTAGGTTTACATAACCTTCAATATATTAAGTTATATATTTTAAAACTCTTAAGTGAATAACATCTGGTTCTGTCTGCTGCTTTGTTACTCATCATTTTATCAATTTCTTACGTAACTTCTTCCACTGTCACTTCAATTTTGGGCAGCTTCTTTGACCTCCTTCCTTTTTACCCTCCAAAGGAAGGTTCCAGCTCGGGAATCTCCCCAGTTTGTCCCACTGTAAACAGTGATGTAAAGAATTAATTCAGTTTTTCTGCGGTACCCTTATCTTCCTTGAGTGCCTTGTTTGTTACCTGAACAGCAGTTGATGCAGCATACTCTCTGGTGTGCTTCTTGATCCCATTTTATTTGAAGAAAAATTTACTGTTAGTTTTTATTCCTTCTGCTAGTTGCTCCTTGAACCATTTTTTGGCCTGCCTTCTTGTGTTTTTTACATTAGATTTGTCAGAACTTATGCTCTTTTCTGCTTTCATTTGAGACATGACTTCAGCTTTTTGAAAGAAGCCTTATTTTGTCTTAATAACCTCCCTCACCTTTCCTTTCTTTTGCTGTCTTGAAGTCTTTCTTAACAAGTGGGGTACCTGTGCTTCCAATGTAATGTTCTTAAGCAACTTCTGTGCTTCTTGTAAAGACTGAATTTTCTTGGCTACCCCTTTTTGCTGCTTTGATGGAATTTTTCACTTCTGTGTAGTTCCTGCTTTAGAAGTTATGCACAAATGTGGTCAGCTTTTCTGAATTTTGTTGTTCCTGGAGGATTGTTGACTCCTAGGTATGATCATTCATTAGCATACCTGAAGCCCTTCAGGCTTTTCAACAATATTTTGTATGCTAATTAAGACTAAGTAAAGAGTTGCATCTCCTTATGAGGGCTTCCTAACCAGCTGCTGCATGAGATTGTCTCTGATAAGGTCTTAAACATTTGGTGTCGTATTATTTTTCTCTTGTGACTTTTACCCAGTGTGCACGGGATAATTGAAGTGCACCATTACTATTGTATTACTTGTTGTTGTTGCTGCCTTGGCCACTTCCACAGCTTCCTGCCTAAGAGGTGGGAGGGATGCGTTGGGGGTGTTCCAGAATAAACTTCTGAGCAGCACTAGAAGTGCAGAAATGGTGTGCAGCTCTCCTTTTCCGTGTTGTTTTCAGTGACTGAAGTTAAAATCGCTTGACTGTGACTTCTACAGGGGCACGGCTCTTCACAGCCCTGCCTCTCCACTACCTCCCAATTCCATTTAAACACAGCAGCTATTCAAGTCCTCCATTTCCATTAATTGCAAGGTTGCAGTTCCCTGCTGTCACTGCTAATGAACTCTGATGGAGGCAAAGCTTCTAATCTAGACAGATACTATCCATTCTGTGTGATTCTTGTAAATAACAGCAGTACTACAGCCACAGAGAGTAAATCATTTGGAAGATAAATTATCAAGGGATGAGGGCCGAGTGGGCTACCTTTTTCTGTGCTTTGAGGAGGAAATGCTGCATCTTTGGAGTGAGACAGCTGATTGTTTTAGAGCAGCAGATGACATGCAACATGGGGTATTCCTGGTAAATACCCTGTGTTGTTCCTACTGGCTGTCATTTCTGACAAATTCTGAGTCTAGTAAGAGGCTCCCCACAAAGGAATTATTTTGAATACAGGCAAAATAAGTAGCACATACAAGCAGAGAGGCATTCAGGTGCCTCATGTATATAACCTAAGTTGCTGTCTTTCATCAGGCAGTGCCGTATCATTACCTCCAAATACCCATCTGACAGCAAAGGTGAGAATGAATTAGACTTCTTGCACTTTTATTCTTAGAAAAAGAACTACTACTTTCATGCTTAGAAGAGGAAACAAGGAGTTAGGAAATCCAGGGTCTTTCAGAATACCTAAATAATACACAGAAGGATTTTCAAAAGTTATTTGCGTACCCACAGGTACAGATAGGCATCTATTGGGATTTTCAGAAGAGAAAAAGTTCTGCGTTCAAGTTACTGACAATTAGAGATTGACGTGTTTATAAGACTCTGGCATGCACTTAACTTTATGCTCTAGTTCCTGAATCAAGATTTTTGACTTGTTGATTCCTATTTCATTGATTTCCAGTGAGATTTAGGTTTCCAAGCATCAAAGCCCTCTTTGAAAATGGCATTTAGGCTCTTGAGTTAGTGAGGAGCTTTGAAAAGCTTAACTTCTGTTTTTAACGTACAAATTTGAACACATCCATTTACTGTCTACCGTCCATTTGCTGTTCTGCTTTGTGGTCTGCAAAGTGGAGGTAATGATGGGGATTCATGGCCTTTGTGCAACAAAATATTTGGAGTAGTAATGGTAAATACATACAAGCTGTAAATTTAAAAAGTTTCAGATGTTCCCAAGTGTTTAGTGTAGTTCCTGTCTCACAAAGTTTTTCCAAAGTTAGAAACCAAATGTTTTGTTTATCATAAAAACCACACTTGCATTATTGCATTCAAAAGGAGAGAGAAACTTTGCATAGGACTTTGATTTCTTTTAGAAGAAATATTTTATGCTGTTGTATTTCTGTGCTTCAGTAGGTTTTTGAAAACAAGTGTAATGTCCTCCACTGGGCATGTGATTAGTCTCATTGCATTCTGCAGAAATCCTCATGTGCTTTAATGTAAACAGATGCTACAGTTATTCCAGAATCAAGGTCTTTATTGCTTGAAGGTGGCTTCAGAGCTGTTTTCACCCAGAATTAGCTTTACACAGCAGAATTAATATGTTATGTTTTAGTGTGGACTCCTTTTAACAACAGCGAAGTCAGGGGCTCTTATGAGTTTTTCTGATTCATGCTGGTTCAACTGAAGAGAATATAACCTTCAATCCCCTGCACCATCCAGCATGAGATTATTGCACTGTTGAAAGTATGCTGTGTTCCCAGCTTGTCATGCATCATTAATGAAAATCACCATCCATTTTGGTTTACACAAGCATTCGACTGAGCTGCTTTAGGGTCCTTTTTGGATTTTGCAGTGGTGACTAGAGAGGAAACTGTCTTCAGAACAGAGGCTGACAGAGGATTGAGCAACAGCTAAATCCAGCCTAAAAGGATCATGAATCAAAGATAAACATTGAAGGCCAGATCATCAGCAGATGTAAATTAGCATAGCTCTATGAATTTTCCGTTTAGACTTATCAACTTATTCCAGCTGAAATACCGATGCACAGCAGATGAAAGTAAAAATTGCATGGTATTTTGTATGTAAGAGATGCTTCCAGTGTACATCTTTATAGTTGCTTTTTAATGGCTTTTAGTGTTAAAGGTGTATTGCTTTGATATTATAAGCCCTGATTCTATTCATTTACATGTCCTGGATATTGAAATGCATGATTTTACTTCAAGATTGTGTTCAGTATTTTCATCACTAAATGCCCATATTTGGCTTCAAAGTCTATATTTAGGTACTAAAATAAATGACCCGATTTTTGAGAACCCAGTATTTCTCATCTGACTTTGTAAGAGCTCATAGGTATTTAGTGTTTCTGAAATTAGGCCAGTTATTTAGGTGCCAAAATCTGGAACTAGAAGCCTCACTTCAGACTGCCAAGTAGAGAATTTTGGCTTAGTCTGTGTTGCTGTGTTAATCAGAAACAATTCAGTCAGTAGGCAGCTTCTGGCAAACTTTTTTCTCCACATCCCTCTAGGTTAGCAATTATCCATGATGTGCATGTAAGGCGATAGCTTTACTTCATTATCTTCATGCTAGTACAGGGACGCAAGTAGAATTGTCTTTAGAGCTGTTAAGTATTTGTGAGACCGCAAGACTGAATAGAGTTTATATGTCATGCAAACATGATTTGACTGAATTTTAGTGCGCTTCATGTCACCACTTTCTGGTGACATTTTAAATGTTCTCTAAAATTCTTGTTTATTATTAAAAAAAATGATACTTTATTATCTTACTGAAAAATGGAACACAAAAAAAGCATATGAGCTTCACTTATTTTTTTATTTTCATTGCAGGTTGGCATCAAGTACAAGTTTTTCTAATCAAGCAGAAAGGTATGGTAGCAAAGGATACCTTAGCCAAAATGAAACAATTGATCTAAAGCATCATCCTCCCTGGCCCTGAAAACAACTAAACTTAACTTTCAAAAAATTTATTTAAGATTTGGAAGTAAGAGTAAAAACTGTCCTTTCCCAGTTGTTTCAAATATCTCATGTGTTCTGAAGACGAACAGGAACCCATATTCATATGTATTGAACCTGAAAAAACTCAGAATCAGACGTAACTTAAAGATGCCTTCTGGTTTCCACAATTTCAGTGCAGCTTTTTCTAGCTTGTTCTGTGTTTGGTATTTGTCTTGATAAACTATCTCCACACATTCAGTCAAGTGAATCATCCTTGGCCATGGAGAACCCCTGATAGTGATGTCTCATTATGTAAATCAGATGCTGAATAGGACAAATTCATTTTGAGAAGCTGTGAAAAATGTTAAGATGTGCAGTTTATGAGTAAATAGATAATGCTTTAGCTTTTTAAGTGAAACCATTAATTTTATGAGTGACTAGGAACTACTTCATCTCTTGAAGGAAACTGCAAGAGGCAAATTAATATTATAATGTGTGTGTTTACCTGTTCATGTGTTTTATGGTAAAGCCAAGAACCTCATCCTGTATCACTGAAATACACAAGGTGAGAGCAGGATTATATTTCAAACTCAGATGACTCACAAATAAGACTATGTGGAGAATCAGGAAAAATGCAACAATTTATTGAGACTTAAATACTTTAGATATGTGTACATAACTTTTTCAGCTCTGCATAGTCAAGCTGAAGTCATAAAATCAACACGCTGAACTGTTTTTTGGGATCAGGACAGTTCTGCTTTTGACTGTCTCACTGTGTTCATGTAGTCAGCTTTGAGAAGTGTTTCATCTGCAAAGCAATTTCTTTCTTCTTCCTTTTCCTTCCCTTCGTTTCAGCATGATGATCCCTGGAAACGCTGCAGGTGTGGCCAAGCAGTTCCTCCGTTGTGTGTTCCATCAGCTGGCTCCCAATGGCATCTTCCCCCAGCTCTTCCAGAGCAATATTAAAGGTAATGTGTGGTACCTGAGTGCATTTCTGTCCCTTTCACTTACCTCTATGTGGACAGTCAGTGTGAAAATGTATTTCGAATTTCAGATGGAAGTTTTTTACGGACCTTGGCCACGTCTCTTATGGACTTCAGTGAGCTGAGTTCCGTTGCTGCTCTGAGCCAGCTGTTAGAGGTATGTTGGCAATCAGCCCTGTTAATGGTGCTGGTTTTATTACCATTAACAGGCATATTGGATCATTTCTCCTCATTCATTAAGAGTTCAAACTTGCATCACCAAAAGCAATGTGAATTTTTGTTTTGTCCTTCCTGCAAGCAGGATTAGGCTGTCCTCACCATCTTCCTTCTGGGTTTTGCTCTCACTGATAGCTTTTTTTTTTTTTCCGCTCTCAGACCAGCTCCTGGAGCTGTCCTACACATTGGTAGTGTGGACCATCCCTTACCTCACCGCTATTTCTGGTTTTCAGGAACATTTCTGCTCGTACATCTCAGTTCTCCCTCTCCCCTGTATCTGCTGGCAGTTTCTCTAAGTAGTCCAAAGATTTATTGCCTGCCTTTCACTGAATGCCTTCTGTGCACGTGGCTTGTTTCTACTGTAACTTTTATCCTTCCACTAGCACTAGACACTTGCATGTATCCTGCTCTTCTTACAAGAATGTGGCAGTTGCTTCATACAAAGATTTTGACATCACTTTAAAACTGCTTATGTCTTTCCAGGCCTGACCCTAGTACACAAGCCAAAAAAGCATACATGGTCCACTGAACATTAATGAACATATCTTGTTTAAAACTCTCCAAAGGAAAACATGGGCAACCCACTGGTGAATACTTCACGAGTTCTGCTTTTTTTTTACTGCCATGCCAAGCTAAGCAGGTTATGAGTTAGGACCCTGCTTATAACATTTTGGCTCAAAATCTTTTGGTCAATACTTTAGGCACTGAACTAGACTCAGCTGTCACATACACAGTTCAAATTCCCTGCACAACATTTTATCATTAGGATTATAGAAGAGGTAAGTAGTATTTGGTCTGAGCAAATTAACCTCAGCATTTCCAAATACTGTTTAAGGGACCATTTCTGCATGTGTACATTTGTTTACAGTTCTTGTTTTGTTTCCCAGGGTTTAAACAACAAAAAGAATTTACCAGCAGGGGGTGCGATGCTACGCTGTTTGGAAAATATCGCTACCTTTATGGAAGCCTTGCCGATGGATTCGCCCAGCAACCTCTGGACCACAATTAGTAATCAGTTTCAGACCTTCCTTACTAAGCTCCCTTGTGTTTTGCCACTTAAGGTATGATGTGTGGACATCTGAAACAGGCTATACTGCCATTGGTCAGGATGTACCGAAACCGTGGGAAAGCTCTGGATGAGAAAGCAGAGCAGGTTGTTGTGAATATTTTCTAATTATTCAACTAATGTTTCCAGAGGACTGGATTTATTGTATGTCTGATCCATCCCTTTAATTATATTTTCCATGGGTAACAATAACAACTCTGACCAGAGTACTCTTCACTTCTTTGTTGGCTTTTTTTCTCAGCACTTTCCATGCCCTGTCTTTGTCAGATTAGAATACTGCATTTGAGAGAATCAGCATTTTGGCAATAAAAATGCATCTGGTTTTAACTGTTAAAACAAAATAGAACTCTCAAGAAGAGCAGCACCACCTAATTAATTTGCTAAAAGTACACAATAGTCAGACAGGCAGAGAGAAACTGAGACTACTGGGAATTGAGCTTAGCCTGTTTGGCTGACCAGGTTGTACTTCTGGCTGTAATCAGAACATAGTTGCAGAAACTGAATCTAGAAGCTTTGGGCTCTGATTTCTGAGTGCTCAGAGGACATAGAGAGGGTTCTTATTTCCTGGTGTGTACATTTCCAGATGTCTTTTCAGTAAACACCGTAAAAACTTTTCTGAGTCTTTCCAGTAAACATGGGATTCTAATGCCCTTATTCTGACTTTATTTCCTATGGCATGAATGAGCCCAGTACTAATTTCTTCTGGGCAAAACAGCATTGCTCAGTATGAGCTGAGGGATCCAAAATCTAACTTCATGACTTATAACATTGTCTTTTAAATTGGGGGTCACCACCAAATTACATGAATGATATTAAATCCCTTGGCACTATTATGCAATAGTCAGATCTTGAAACTTCTTTAGGTTTTGGTAAATTGAGGCACCATTCTGCAGCACTTACTAAGCCAAACAGGCAATAACCATTCCCTTTGCATACTAGCCATCCCAATCTGTTGCATCTTGTCTAATTGAAATAAATAAAAAGACATGAATTGGATCTTAATAGTTCCATCTGCATATCTGCCATTCACAGAACATTTAGATGGAGTGTTTACTCTAATTTCTCTTCTATTCGTGGGAGTTATCATTAGTGATACAAGTAAAACAATTGCTTGCTCCTGAATTTTCCATGTCCTATTCCTTTCTCCGGGGTCATAAATGACTCTGCTGTTCTAGATGTTTGCAGAAGGGATGAGGCAAGACAATGGATAGACCCTGAAAAGTCCCATTCACTGCTGCAACCTGTGTGATTTACACAGAAGAAAACTCAGTTACACCATAAGGGACAACTTTAGAGAGACTTCTGGAGCAGCTATTGCCAGGGCACGTTCTGGTGTTATGGGGTGTGAGTTGTAGCCCTGTCTTAGAGTGTGGGCAAAATGTCATAGCCCAGGGCAACCACAGAAATATAACATGAGGTAGATGGTGTGCACCTCCTGCTAACTCATTTCCCCCCCCCCCAACCCATTTTTATTACAGTGAAAATGTATTTCTAGGAAATTTTTCTTATAAAAGGGTAAAGTTAACTTTTCTGAACTAGTCCTGTAGTGAAATTTTCTCATCTCAAGGCCCATGCTGTGGTGTGTTACCATTGAAGGGGTGCGATTGTGTGTTCAGGAATAAGCCAGTTTAGGCAAAGTAAGTAAAGATCAATCATCAGGGATAATTTTCCAGACTTCACCTATAACTTATTCATAGCTGCTACCGCTAAAAGCAAGACGTGCACAGAAAGGTACTAACTCTGTTTTTTTTTCTTTTTTTTTTTCTTTTTTCTTTCCTGCCTTCAAATACATTCACAGTGTTCTTTAGATTCTAGTTTAAGAATCATGATTTGCTTGTTGAAGATACCTACCACTAGTGCCACCAGGGTAAGTTCCAAGAAGACAAAGCTCTGTTGCTTCAGATTTAGCTAGCCTGTGCTATTCTATGAGTGTCTTCTTATCTCCTAGCTAGGAATGTATTATATAGAAGCATAAAATTGTGCAGTCCGATACTCTTTGGAGAATGAGAAGAGCTTTGGAATCTAGGTTACAGTAAAGTGTGGGTGGGATTACATTCCTGTGTGGGTGTGAATGTATATCTTCTTAAAGATTTGATGTTCTCTTTTTTTTTTTTCCTGCTCTTTTTTTTCTTAAAAAAAAAAAAGTAATGAACTTCCTTAGAAGTTCTGCAGTACAATTCCACTGAGATCAATAAGGTTTTACTGCATAAACACTACAGAATCTCTTCTGTCTCGTAAGCACTGTGTCAGAGGTGAAACTATTTTCTGATTTTTTGCTTCTAATGTCTCATACAAGCATAAAGGCAGATGCTAGGTAGAATAGCCATTTGACAGAAACAGTGTAAATCCCAACAAGGTAGCCTCTGAGCTAAAAAGAATGTTGTTCATTCAGGCGTTTCAGAGTTGGGATGCTTTTTTTTTTTTTACTGAGCAACTAGTTATTGATTTCTCTAAATCATGTCATTGCAGAGTCTTCTAGAGCCTTTTTCAAAATTACTAAGCTTTGTAATTCAGAATGCTGTCTTCACTCTCGCCTACCTGGTGGAACTGTGTGGTTTATGCTACCGAGCCTTCACTAAGGTAACAATGAGACTGTATCTTCTTTTAGGGACAACTGAAAATAGGACAGGCAAAGTCCTTCTTCCCTCAAGTAGTATGTTTGTAAGTAAAGATGAAATCAGTGTCAAGTTTCAGGCATGTCAACAGTTTTAATGTAGTTTGGCTAATCAAGTAGTGATCATGATTCAGTGCCTTTTGATAGTACTGAGTTTCACATTCACAGTATAGACGCAGATAAAAGAAACTGCTGAAAACATTGCTCAGAAAAGTATTTTGGTGTGATATCATGACTTGGATATTTTTTTCTCTTGTAGAGATGATATCTGGTATTCATGCATGACTTAAAATATCTGTACAGTCATATCTGTGCACAAGTTTAGCCACGTACCTTGTGCAGTAAAAACTTAAATATTCCTGGTAGTGCCTTTTGAGAGCACAGCTGTGAGGGGAGGCAACAGATAGCTAAGAAAAGTGGAAGACTCCAAGTTAGGAGCTTCTCAGCTTAGATCCTATTTCATTCTGTTTTAGGTATCTCACTTTGGCGTGCATGGCTGTAAGCTGTGTAGAAAAGAGAACAGTATGTGTGCACCTTTAAAAAGTTTTTAAGATTCCTGGATGAAAGCTATGGTGTACAAATAACACTCAGTTATTATTCAAGTTCATTGTTGTAAGTGATGGTGAGAAGTTGAACAACAACAAAACCCACAAAAACAATTAAACCTTTTACTAAGGCCCTATATGCGCCATTATGTAGATTGTTAAGGTACTGAGCAAAAATGTTGCTTCAGCCACTAAGTGTTTGCCATCCTTGATACGTTTGTCAAAACAGTAATTAATCTTCAGGAAATGTTCTTTCGTAAGTGGCTACATGATTTTCTATATTAATAATATGCAACTGCAACACACATTGCTTCAGTCTTGGTAAGACTTAAAATATCACTGGACAAACAGAGAAGAAGTAATAAAAGCAGTGACACTCTCACAGAAAAACTGCACAAGAAAGTAAGAAAAACGTTTACCAGATGTAATGGTTTGAAGCATTAAATAGAAACTAATAGTATGTTTAATTACAGCAAGCAAATACTACCTTTTTTGTCTCATTTGAAAGAGAAGAGTTTATAAAAGAAAAAAAATCCTGAATAAAGAAGAGACCATCCAGCTTTTGGAAGTAATTTGAGTTAGATCTATAGTTAAGGCTTTGGGCAAGGCAAAGTGAGAAAAATGTTAGCTTAAAGTCCAGCAGTGGGGTTTTTTTCATTGAAACAAAAAATGCCTCATTTAAAACTGAAGGAAAGACATTCCTCTTGCATTTGTGGTCTGATAAGACTGTTTCATGTGTGCCTGCTAAAGCAAATTGTGAAATACAGGAAATGTTTCACTCCCCTCATGCTCTGCAGTTTTGGTTATTTCAAGAAAATTTTATTAAAACCATGGCATTAAAAAAACCCCATGCTTTTCTTGCATGCTTCCTGGTTCAGTGTTCTATTAATATATTGAATACTTAATTGCACACAGGAAGCTTGGATTATAGCACTTGGTAAAATCTCCTTCTTGATTTAGTTTAATGCGACCTGGTGACCTAGAAATGGAATCATTAGTGAATGGTCTCCTGCAAGTTATAGCCACAAAATGCTCGATTTAGTGCAACTCCACACTACATTATCTTTGTTATTTCTGAAAGCTTACCATTATTTTGCATTAGAAATATCAAATTAATGACTGCCGTTAGAAAAAAACAAATCAGTTGTGATGTCTGTGTTTCTCTACAGTGGAAATCACTGTAGCCAAGTGAGAGTGTTGTTCGTGATAGAATACCATGTAGAAGCGAATTCCAGAAGGAATATAATTTGTGAACATTGAAACTATTCGGATTTAATTACTTGTTTTGCAACTTCGAATGTGCTGGCTGGAACAAACCACCAAGTTTCAGCTAAGCTGTGGAGGATTCTTGTCTTTTCAAAGACCAAGACACTCTGACATGCACTTTGTAGAGGTCAGTGCTGTACAACCACTCCAAATCTTTATCTCCAACATTTTCCTAATACCCTGTGGTAGGAATATCTCAGTTTTTCTTGTCTTGGAGCCTGAAGACTCACGCCAATCTGATATTTCCTTGTCTGACTTTCTGTTCCAGGTCAGCAATTTGATGTTTTCAGTGCCTTTGGAACTCCTAGTTGAGAGTAGCCTCTCCTGCGGATTGTAATCTTCTTATCTTTAGCTTTCCTTTCAAGTAACTTAATGGTCCTAGATGGACACTTTTTGGATTTCTTATCTCTTACAGCTGCAGAAGCTTGAACCTAAACTTAGCCTTTTGCTAGTGTTCTGTTGACTTATTAAGTAAATGCAGAATGCCACTGAATTGGACTTGACATCATTTTGCTATTGAATTTTTTTGAAGAATCTTGAAGTGGCTGATCTTCAGTATTTGTAATTACTGTAGTAGCAACAGAAATAAAATAAAGAATTTTGGTTTATACTGGCTTACTTGGAGGATAGCATACCACTCCATTAAAGAACCAAATTTAGTATTCTTATTACTAAGTTTGGGCCCTGAGATACTGCTAGAAACAAACTTCAGTAGTTTCATGTTCTACACATAGACATCTGGCAAGTCACAGTTTGAAGGTTGCAAGGCATTTTTTTATAGGGATGCATAGGCTAGAGGAGAGGAAATGGCCTCCAGGACAAGAGGAAATGGCCTCAAGTTGTGCCAGGGGAGAATTGGATTAGATATTAGGAAAAATTTCTTCACGGAGAGAGTGGTTAGGCGTTGGAACAGACTGCCCAGGGAAGTGGTGCGATCACAGTCCCTGGGAGTGTTCAAAAAACACATGGATGTGGTGCTTAGGGACCTGGTTTAGAAGTGGACCTGGCAGTTAGGTTAATGGTTGGACTCAATGATCTCAGAGGTCTTTTCCAACCTTAATGATTCTGTGATTCTGTAGACATTCTAGAGGGTTAATTCAGCTGAACAGAGGCTAAAGGGGTTGTATTCTTGACTCTTTGGTACCAGGTTTACACATGTGACTCCCCTGGGCATTATTCTCATGGAACTAATACCCATTTACAGCTCTGTTGCAGAATATAAAGCTGTTAAAGTATGTATAAACCATGTTTATACATATTTATCACCAGCAGAATGACAGGAATAAGTAGGCTGTGCTAAGAAGGCTACTCTGGGCTATTGACTTCAGTGTCATCACTCCTGATTTACAGTGCAGGAAGCAAGAGGTCAGATGTCAAAAAACATTTTGCTTGATTTTGCTTCATCTCTCTGCACTGCATGTGCTTAACAAACATTAAGAGTTTAGACTGTGAGATAGGAGTCTTCTTTGAGAAAGAGGTAGGTCACTATTACATTATCCTTAGAGCCAAGGAAAGCTGGGATTCATGAAGCCTATGCTTCCTTCCCAGTGTTCTGACAAAGCAATTTATTATGGCCCAATTATATCCTGTGTAGCATAGGTGTTAGTCTGTAAAATACCTGAATGCTTTTGAAAGAATTTTACCTCTCTTCTTTTCCAGTATGTGCAGGCTACTGTACTGGGTTACTGATAGGAACTTCTGTCCAGTGTTCTGGGGGATGTAATTGTCAACTGTCTGAGCATGGCACTGCATTATGTATGTGCCTCAAGACTATGAAGGTGTATGACGGTAGGAAGGGTCAGTCTTGCTGGCGAATTCTAGCCAGTAATCAGGGTCTATTTGCACTTTGAGTATTGTGCACCGTTCTGGTTCCCCATTCCCAACAGAATATGGTAGAATTGGAGACAGTTCACATAACGGTAGCAAGAATGATCAAACAGTGGGATGAGTTCCACATGCAGAGCAACTAAGTTAGGGCTCTTCAATCTGAAAAAGCAACAATTGACGGGAATGTGAGAGAGGTCTGTAAGGTCAAAAGTGACCGAGATAGGGATGGGCAGTTTCATGCCTTTCCAGTACAAGAACAAGAACATATTAAGTTTGAAGGAACCAGTGTCAAAGCAAGTAAAGGGAAGTGGTTCTTCAACAGCGTGTGACTCCTTGCCAAGTTCTGGGGGTGCTAAAAGTTGACATGGGTCCAAGAGGTCAATGGACACAAACGTGGAAGAGAAATCCACCAAGAGTTATGAATTATATAGAAACCACACTGAGCTCAGAAGTTCCTTGATCAGAAAATAATTGGTGGGTAGGAGAGTAGTAGTGGGAATTATACATGCTTGACTTGTTTTTATTCTTCCTTTTGCATCTGTTTATGGCCTTGTTGGAGGTAAGATACTGAGGACATTTGTTCTGATCTGACCTCTCCTGGATGTTCTTGTATTATTCTTATCAGAGCACCACTCATACTTATCCCCTCAAGTAATGATTTCACAATATAGCTGAACTGATCCAGTGTTTGCTGCTCCCATAAGGGAATATTTTTTAGGTTTGTTTTCTATTTTTATTGATGTTGGAGTGTTAGCTTCCTGCCTAGGCTGCAGCAATGTAGTCAGACAAGGACCACTGCAGTTTGGGGCCCATTCCATCAGCTAAATGTGTAATCTGTCTGCGTAATCCATGTAAATCAAGATCAAAATAGGAGCTTGAAGTAAGGTCTCTTGATTCATAGACTGGCATCATAATGTCCATGAAAGACATACCATTCTGTTGTTTTGGCACCTTCTTCCAAATCAGGGGCTGATATTTAAAAGCTGTTTTCATTAAAAGGTATGTGGGTGCTGTGGGAGTGTGCTGGTTTTGGCTGGAATAGAGGTAATTTTCTTCATAGTAGCTGGTATGGGACTATGTTTTGGACTTATTCTGAAAACAGTGTTGATTACACAGGGAAGTTTTTGTTACTGCTGAGCAGTGCTTACACAGAGTCAAGGCCTTTTCTGCCTCTCACCCCACGCCAGCAGCGAGCAGGCTGGGGGTCCACAAGAAGCTGGGAGGGGACACAGCCAGGCTGACCCCAACTGACCAAAGGGATATTCCATACCATATGATGTCATGCTCAGCAATAAAACTAGGGGGAAGGTTGGCCGGGGGTCCACTGCTAAGGGATCGTCTGGGCATCGGTCGGTTGGTGGTGAGCAATTGTTTTCATTTGCACCACTTGTATTTCTTGGGTTTTATTTCTCTCTCTTTGTTATTTTCTTTTTCATTACAATTTATTGTTATTATTATTGGTTTATTTATTTATTTATTTCAATTATTAAACTGTTCTTATCTCAACTGATGAGTTCTCTCACTTTTACCCTTCCAGTTCTCTTCCCCCCATCCTGCTCGGGGTGGGGAGTGAGCGAGCGGCTGTGTGGTGCTTAGTTGCTGACGGGTTAAACCACGGTCGGGAGGCACACACTGTTGCTGTGAGCTTTGTTTGGCAGTATGCTATGCAGATACAATGTGGTGACATCAGCTTTCTCAGGAGGAATGCTGGTGACTGGCCTCTTGGTTTGCTGCAACCAAAGCTCACTCTCACTTCCAGCTATTGCATCTCCTCCAACTCCTTCCCTTTTAGCTGCACTTGCTACTGTGTGCAGCTGGAGGTAGTCTTCAAACTGACCCTCACTAACTAAAATGCACAAGACTTCTCTGAGGAAGAGGCAAACATTATTATGCCATTTTGCAGATGTCACAGAGGAACTGAGGCCCCGACTGAGTAAAAAGTTCCACACATTTAACTGAAGTGAGCAGACAAGTGCATGAGATTTACAAGATGGAAGATACTAGGCTTTAAATCTTAAGCACACTTTGGATATGCTCTCTTTATTAGACAACATTATTTCATCTCTAGTGGTCATTTGAAAGAAAGCCCAGTGTAAGTCTACCTGCTGATCAAAATTCTTGAGTTGCTGTGGTCAGGAGTAGGTTATAGATTTTTTCCACATTTTTATCTTATCCTCTAAAGTCAGAGAATGTCAAAATAAGATGTATAACAGGCTCATCTTATCTCTTGTACCTCCTTGCTGTCTCAGCTCTACAACTCTATTCTTAGGCTTCTGTGTTTTAATCTCCATTGGCTGATTTTCCCCAATGTTTTAAAATGTTTCTGTTGTAGCAGCTGTAGCCAAGATGGTTTTTATTGTGTAAGTGGAAAAGTACTGCTAGTCTAATGAATGAAAACAGATGTCCAAGCTGCCGTAGAGCAGGCACCCTTATTTTAAGGGGAATGACAACAGAAAAAAACGTATGGTAGAATGTTGACCATTTCTGGCAGGTTTAATGAAAGAATAATGCTAAATATTATTGCTAGTTTTGTTCTCCTGTGTCAATCCTTATTGCTTTCCTCTTTTCCCTTTATATGGAACTACTTAGTGAAAGCTACTCTGCATGCCTGGGCTTTGTAACTGGTTTATAAAATCTATCTGTATTTCACGTGTGAGATATTAAAATCTTGCATATAGTGCCTGATACGACGTCGAAGGAGAATCGCCCTCACTGATGTCTGCCTTTTTGTAAGACAGGAGCAACCAGTACACTTTTGTAACTTTTTTAATTCTCAAACGTATCTTTATGGTTTACTGGTGGGTGTCAGTGAATTTCAGGACATTCATAATTCTGTGTTTTTCTGTTGTAGGAACGGGACAAATTCTACTTGACGCGCAGTGTCATATTGGAGTTACTGCAGGCACTCAAGTTAAAGTCACCCTTACCAGACATGAATCTGCTGCTGTTAGTGCAGGTACAGGAGATTCTCATGTAATTCTCATACTGATCCTGTCTCGGCCCAAATTTGGGAGGGAGGGGGAAGGCAAGTTGCAGGCATGGTTGCAGAAAGTACCAGCAATGTCAGGGGAAGCAAGAATATTTTGAATCAAAATCCAGTTATGTTTGTGACCATAGGTGCATACATTTAGACTCCTACACTAGAATTTAAGAAACTAAACTGGGAATCCACAATTCCCAGGATGATAATGACCTGTACATCATTGCTGATGTACTGAGGATCACAGAATATGTCTCGAGGTGGAAGGGACCCATAAGGATCGAGTCCATTGAGCTTCATACCATGTCCAAGGGGGCAGCTGCCCCAGCTGCTGCCTCGTCTTCATATCATAGCCCCAAAGCCAGTGAGCAGTTTGTGTGGGAAGGGGTGAACTCAGTTTCTGTCTATTCAGGGAGGCAGTAAGCTGTCTCCAGTCCCTGAAGGCCATTCTCTTTTAACATGGAATTTTCCAGCAAAGAATACACAGGCAATATTTCTGTTCCTTTCATTCTGTGGCTGGCTGAGGTAGGAGTTAAGCTAGCTTTTTCATAGGAAAATCTGAGGAAGTAAGATACAAACTTGTGAAAAATCTTTCTGCCTCCAAAATGCTGAGTGTGGCACTGTTTGGCACCACAAGCTGTCCCACAAAAACAATTTACTGAAGCCCATCAATTTTAATCACAGGTAGTGGGTTCATTGCTTACAATGAGCTAACCATTATATGCATTTAGTAACTTTAAATGACAGGGGACCAGCATAACAGCACTCCATAAAGTTCAGGCAAGATGTTTGTTGTGTAGATCATTCATAATGCTCCAAGCATCACAGTTCCATTCACTCTAAAAATTTCCCCTCCTGTTATGGGGCCAAAGCTTCATATAGCTTACTATGGGCTCATTTTCTTTTGAGTATTGGTACATTACTCATAGTAAATAAGTGGTTGCCAGTTGACAGAGAAATAATACTGACAAGTGAAATTATATAGCAGTTAGGATAACTCTGAAAACAATTATTATGCCATCAGTGTTAGGAGAAGAAGTTGAAGCGGGGAAGAATAACACTTGGGTCTTTTTCTTTTCATGGTAAAGGGTTATTTTTTTAAATCCATTTTAATTTAAAAAGCAGAAATTTGCCTTTTTTTTTTTTTTTTTAAGCCCAGACGTCTTTTTTCGGTCCTAGCCAAGACCATCAAATAACTTAACAACCACCAACCTCTGTCTGTCTTATGGGTGCAGTGATGCAGCTTGATACCATGTGCATTGGTGTTTGTTGACTTGAACTGACTTTTCCTGTATTACTGTGCTGGTTTTGGCTGGGATAGAATTAATTTTCTTTATAGTAGCTAGTATGGGGCTAGGTTTTGGATTTGAGCTGAAAACAGTATTGATAACACAGGCATGGTTTAGTTACTGCTGAGCAGTGCTTACACAGAGTCAAGGCCTTTTCTGCCTCTCACCCCACCCGTGAGCAGGTTGGGGGACACAAGAAGTTGGGAGGGGACACAGCTGGGACAGCTGACCCCAACTGACCAAAGGGCTATTCCATACCATATGATGTCATGCTCAACATATAGAGCTGGGGGAAGAAGAAGGAAGGGGGGAATGTTTGGAGTGATGGCATTTGTCTTCCCACGTGACTGTTAGACGTGATGGAACCCTGCTTTCCTGGAGGTGGCTGAACACTTGCCTGCCAATGGGAAGTAGTGAATGAATTCCTTGTTTTGCTTTGCTTGCGCGTGCGGCTTTTGCTTTATTTATTAAACTGTCTTTATCTCAACTCACAAGTTTTCTCACTTTTACTCTTTTGATTCTCTCCCCCACCCCACTGGGGGGAGTGAGTGAGCGGTTGTGTGGTCCTTAGTTGCCAGCTGGGGTTAAACCACGACAATTACAGAATAGAGCAATTTTTCTGCATTGCATCATTGTATAGCTCAGTCCTATGGCTACCCCAAAGGGTGACAATCCCACAGTCTAGTCAATCCTGAATTCCTCATTTGAGAACGTAAGCATTCCACATCAGTTTTGGCAGTGGGATTTAACTGGTAAACACTCGTCCTTCACATTGAGTCAATCACCTGGTAGACACAGTAAGCAAAACTCTCTCTTACATTATCTTTATCTCATAAAGATAAAATGATAATTGACTGGGTTTTCATCCTAGCCCTGTTCCCATATGCTGTATTCACTTTGGGATGTATTCATACCTTACACAACAGCACCTAATGTGGATATAAATGCCTTTTATCATGTCTCTCTTTCAGAGGCTGATGAAGTGATTCATATTTCCTGCTATCCAAAGCAGCCAGCTTCTGTTTTTATGCAGTCAGTAGTAAAGAATAGGGGTTGTATTCAGACCATCTGCCGTAGATGCCTACTGGAGGCATGATGACTACTTCTCCCATTGACTGTGCAAATTGGCAGCCCTCAGTAGTATGTGGTCTGAATCATTCAACAGCCTCCTGAATTTAAATACCATAGTAACCACTAAGCCCATCTTAAGCACCATTGTAATTTAAGAAACCTACTAGTAAAAACACATATGTATCTGATTATTTTAATTTTTTTGGTATCATTAATAGAACAAAGGGATCGGTTCGCCTCTTTACCACACAAAGCCACTACAATATTAATTCAAATTGTATGGTTTTGAATCCCTAAAGCTGTAGCAGGGTTAACACAGCACCAAATGGAAACGGTTTTCATTTCCAAGACAGTCACGTCCTCATGGATGTGTTAGGCTATATACAAGATTCTGTACAGACAGTGCACACAGAATATAGAGATTCAGTCAAAATGTTCACAATAGCAAAGGAGCTCGGAGCACTTTAATGATAGATCAGTCGTGGGCTGACTAACAAAGGAATTCCTAGGAATGTACAGTTGACACCCACATTGATCCAGATTACATGGTGCCATCAATGTCACTGGTGACAGCAGTGCTAAGATGAGAGTTAACTTTATCCCACTTTACAAAGAATGAGAATTTTAACCAGATCACCCCAATCATTGCATAGGTGTCCTGAATGATAAAGGCTACAGAAAGTCTGTCTCCTTGATTTGTCCTAGCAAATGAAAGCCATCATGTACATGCTGCTGTTCCATGGGTTTCCATAGGAACTGCTTCTTCACCCAGCATTTTGTTTCCCAGTACTTTTCTCCCGCTCACGTTTCACCAGCACAGATCTTCAGGATTTCCATTGACTTCAAATTATATTACTGTCTCATTAGGATTTGCTTGTTCAGTCAGGCTCTGAGGTTCAGTGTATCATCTGATCTGTTTTGTTTAGATGACTCCTATTTTGGGCCGGACCTTCAGCTAATGTAAATTAGTGTATATCTAGTGGTTCCAGTTTATGTTTCTGTGAAGATCTGGTCTACAAATTACTGGATGGAAGGATTTAAAGTTGCATATAATATGTTTATAAGAATATATATTTTAAAAACTCTGATTATGAATGGAGGTATAATATAGATAGATTATGGTATATAGATAATTCACTACAGTCAGCAGACATTCCCATTTAGACATTATTCTGCAGCTGTATCTCACCAGACAATGCTAGCAAGAGGCATGGCAATTATTTGCTCCTTTCTCATCTTTTTGCAGTGTGGGGGTATTTTTCTTTCCTTTGTTCTTTACATATGGCTGACATTAAATCTCTTGTCAGTGACGTCTTAATGTATTATAGTATTTGTAGAGGGAGACAACATAAATGACAGTGAATTGGACTGGAAATGTAAGAAATTTTTCATTTTGAGTTTGGTTTCCCCATCCTCTTTTGACTGCATTGCAACTTTAGGAAGGATCCCTGGAACTGGGATGATGAGATATATAAGCTAAAAAAGGCCTAATTATTCATTAGAAACGGAATGGAGATTGTCAGCTGTTTTTCACGTATAAATTAATATCTGTTATTTAACCCACACTCCTCTGTGCAAAAGATGTAGAAAGCTTACAGGAGGCCAGCAGAGGTTGCTTTGGATGCTGCTTCTTATTATTGTTCTTAAAAGAAAATGTTGTCTGAAATAAATGACATTTGTCTTTGGCAAGGGTTTTTTGTTGACTTATATGGTGATTGTTCTACAATGTCTGTAGCAGTGCACTGAACTCACTGTTGGATGCTAAATATACTCAGCCAGATTCTTCAGGGAATTATGGTCCTTTTTTGCAGCTGGTGTAGTACAAGGGAACCCTAATCTACACACAAATGGTTGACTGAGAAATCCTTCACACAGGAAAATAACATATCTGTAGTCCGGCATACCCAGGGTCAGCATTGCTCTTTCTGAGATAGGGTGCATTAGGAGAAAATCTGTCATCCATTTGCCTGAGTCCATTAATGGTCCTTCTTTTAAAAGAGAGGTGAAGAGTCATGGTTGCTGTCTGAACTAAGACTCAACTGTCTTTACTGGATTGATACAGTCCATATCCCTAAGGCTTTCTTTTGCTTCCCATGTAATTATTAGAGCTGTGGTACAGAAGAGCACCAGGCTATCTCTCAACTGAAATATGAGTTAGACTCTTGTTTTATTTCCATTTGGCTTATTCTGGTGTAAAATAAATTCTAACCAGAAGAAGAGGCAACTGGAGCCAGGCCTATGTCTGAGGATACCTAATTAGATGATTATTAATCTAAACTTGGGTATGTCTTTCTAGTATTTATGCCAAAGAACAGACTTTGTCAAGACATAAGTTGAGTAGATTCCAAGTCTTGGTAGGAATTCTGAGTTCAGATTAAATCTGTCATTGAAAGGTAAAGCTCGTGGAAGTGTAACAGTAAATTCTAGGTCTGTAAAGGATATTTGGAAATATTTTCAA